CAAGGACCCTACAAAGGGGGAGAAGGGGAGACATTTTCCAAAAAGAGCTTGTTAACTAACCTCAAAATGTTAACTGTAACTCACTTAAGAAATAAACAAAGCTGGAGCAAGGTCAGTAGTCTCCTTTCATGTCTTTGGAGTCCACAAGGATGAGGTTCCTCACAAGGAGGAGTTTCTTAAATGTTTACCTGCCTTAAAGACTTAAAGATATTTTTGACTTGATCCCACATCCTCCAGAAAGAGACATGTGGGATCTTAACTCCAGCTTCCACTTGGGATTTTGCTCCCATTTAATATTTTGAGTGTGGTGACCAGAGGTAGTGACAGAAATGCTATCACCATCTACCCACACTTCTAGTGTTAATTCTCAGTTCTTCACATAACCAAAGGAGATTAGTAAAGTGCAGACACTATAACCAATTTGGTCAGCTTGCTGTTATCCTTTTCACAGGATCATTTATACAACCTCTCATTCCTTTCTTCTTAGTTCTCCCAGTAACTTCAAAACCCACTTGACTGATTTCAGTTGAATTTGGTGGACAGACAGCAATCTTAAAGATAGGAAGTTCTTTCTGTGTTGTAAAAATCAGTAATCCCAATCAGTTGGGGTAAGAGAGAAATCTAAATGGTACCTCTTAGGTGTCAATACTTGTCTTCCATTCCCAGAATCTGTGGTTTCACAGTGTGATGGGTGTCACCTTTTGTGCAGCCAGGCAGACAGGGAAGTATGGCAGAGTGAGTAGTCAGAGACTGCCTCATCTCGTGTTGGTATGAAAGTGATTCACTGCTGGGGAGATTTTTATCTTGCCTTTATTAGCCACTCTCATGCATCACAGGTAAATAAGTTGGCACTGAGATGGATTATATTCTGCTGTTTTGGAGACTTGGCTGAGACTGGTTTCTTAGGTATTGTGGAGAGTGTATGTTTCAGCACCTGATACAGAAATCTGATATTAAGATGCTTGTTTTAGATGCTCTATATTTATAACTTTTTTGAGTTATTTAAGCCTAGATTGGGAAGGGTATTTAAGCACTTTTATCCTGTCACTTTTCCCTGACAGCTCTTATTGGGGATCTCAGGAGCAGACTGCCTTAATGTGGGCAATTTAAAGAGATTTTATATTTGTTTCTAAGTTGATTTGCTTTCCCTCTCTAGCATGAGCTCCCAAAGCTCACAAGCATTGGCACCACAGCTAAAAGAGCTGCCACTGGTACCAGCAGCACTGCCAAAGCTTTGTATATCAGCTTCTTCACCCCTCACCTGTGGGCAGTGCAAACCCTTGAAGTATTATTTTTGCTAATGGCTGCACCTCTGGGTAATCCTTTTGCTGATATATAGGACTTTTAAGGGATATTATTATGTTATTTTTATGTTATTTAAATAAAACTGCCATTGACATGAAAAGCTTCAGTACAAAACCAGGGTGACTTGGTTGTGTTGCCAAAAGTACATGCTGTGATAAGGCTTGCCTGTGAAAGCCAGTGAGGAATATGCACAGGTAGCACTATAAATCTTTGTAAATCCTGTAAAGAGAGTTCCTCTTTCCCTTTAGAAGGAGGAACATCAAGATCCCACCTTTCTCTCCTAAGAGGACAGTACCTGTCCTCTTGTGTTCAGTTCAAGTTCATCTGTGAATGAATACATTAATCACCAGTGACAGGTACCCAACCACTTAGAGCTGTTTTTGCTACATTTGCACGTGCAAATGGTCATTAGCAAAGATTTCTGTCATCCTTGCCTCTGCTCTGTATGGTCACTTTGAACCCAAAACCCAGCAACCTGTGGTCAGCAGTGAGGAGGAGCTGCTTGGCTGTCTGCTTTGAGTGTTCTCCAGAAGTCTGTAACCTACAGGCCCCTCTCACCATCTCTACATCTGCAGGGCTGCAGTGGGCATGGCAGGGCCTTCACCATCCTCAGCTGCACTTGTATCCTAAAGATTCACAAACAGGATTGTCAGATGCAGCTCAGTGACTTCTAAAAGCATCTGTTTTTATTGGATGGCAGTGCTCCCACATTTAGGTCCTTTGAAAGCTCTGTTCTCCAATATAAGGCAGTCTATAAGCAAACATCTTGAGACCACTTCTTGCCACAATTAGCAGTAATTAACAAGAACACATGGTCATTGCATTGCAGAAGCAGCTAGAAATTGTGTTGCCCAGAGGAGGCATCTGCAGGATCAACACAATTCATGCTCTTTTTGTGCATGAAGCTGTTGGGATCTCTTCAAGCCCCAATCAGCCATCCCTTCCTCCCCTTGCAGTGACACCCACGATTCAGTGTACCACCTTCTTTCCCTGCTCTCTCAGCCCTGTACTCATTAACACAGGTCTGGGCTGTGAGCACAGCAAGGCTTGAGTGGCTGTGTCCCAGCTCTTCCTTGCCATGCTGCGGCATCCCTACAGACACAGCTCCCATCCCCACGAGGTGGGCAGGCCCAGCATGATACAGCACCAAAGGTATCTCTGGTATGCAGTAAGTGAGTTTCATTTTCCACTTCCTTTCTGGTTTGCTTGTTTGCTTGCAAAGGGAATCTACAGCAGGATGTTTCTGCATGACTCGCAACTGGAGCCCCCAGTACAGATAAACAACACTCAGACTTTCATCTGGCTCTGTCCTGGGCCAGCCCATGAGCTTTCCTGGGGGGTCAGGAGCTGGGAACTAGAGACTTCCTTTTTGAAAAGACATCAGAGAAGACACAGTGTGGCTCAGTCCTAGCTCTTCTAAGAACAAAAATCAACTATCTTAAAACCACAGAACTACAGAATTATTTGAGTCTAAAGGGACCTTTAAAGATCATCCACAAGCAGGAACATTTTTCACCAGACCAGGTTTCTCAAAACCCCACCCAACCTGGTCTTGGACACTTGAGGGATGGGGCATCCACAACTTCTCTGGGCAATCTATTCCAGTGCCTCACCATCCTCATAAAGAATTTCTTCCTTTTATTTAAATCTACCTTCTTCGTTTAATTTCATTGCCCTTTGTTCCATCACTACAGGCCCTGGGAAAATGTTTCTCTCCCTCTTTATTATAAAATCCCCTTTAAGTACAGAAAGGCTGAGTAAGGTCTCCCTAGAACCTTCTCCATGATGAACAGACCTGACTCTCTTAGCCTTTCTCCACAGAAGTGTTCCAGCCTTCTGATCAACTTTTAGCCCTCTTGTGGATGCTCTCCAAGAGGTCTGTGTCTTGTGCTAGGGCTCCAGAGCTGGATGTTGTACTCCAGGTGGGGTTTCACAGGAGCAGAGTGGGAGAAACCCCTCCTCTGACCTGCAGGTCACACTTCTGATGCACTTCTGATCCATATGGTTGGCATTGTGGGCTGCAGGTGCAGCTGGGTCACATCCAATTGTTCATCCACCAATATTCTCAAATCCCTCTCCTCCAGGCTGCTCTGGATCCATTCATCCCCAGCCTGTACTGATATTGAGGACTGCCCCAACCCAAAGGTAGGATCTTGCACTTGGCCCCGTTGAATTTAGTGAGGATCACATTGGCCCACTTCCCCTCTGGATGGCATTCCTGCCCCTACTGAATCCAGAGCACCACTCAGCCTGGTGTCCTCTGAGGAATTCCTGAGTGTGACTCAGTCTCTCTGACTGTGTCATTATTAAAGACTCTGAGCAGTACTGGTCCCAGTGCAGGATCCTGAGGGACACCACTTGTTCACAATCCCCGTTGGGATGCTGAGCCATTGACTGTATTTGGATCCCATCCAGCCACTTCTTTATCCATCAAATAGTCCATCAATCAAATCCACCTCTCTCCAAATGAGAGGTAAGGATGTTGTGTGGGACCATGCCAAAGTCAATACAGAAGTCCAGGTAGCTGACAGGTAGCTTACTTTCCCTTAGGTTGGAGTGGTTTCAGCCTGCACTGCATTTCCCAAGGATATCAGAGGTCGTACCTGCGTTTCAGTTTGTGCCTGCTGGGATCCCCCTTGCCTGGAGGCTCTCTGCAGGCAGAGGTCCAGCCTCACTGCCTCTGGGCTCTTTCCTGCAACTGAGAAACCATCCAGCCCACAGCAGGGAAGGAGTTAAGTGCTTGACCAGCTGCTGTCTGTGAGGCACTGAATTCCTTCCCGTGCAATCCAGCAGTCAGTGTCAGGACAGCTATATTTAGAAAGCTGATAAAGGTTTGGTGCCAACAGTTGTCCTGCCCCTCGATGAAGAAGCAGTAGAGAGAGTGAGAGGGGGGCAGCTGGTTGCTTTCCCCCCCAGTAGCTCTCCTTGCTGTCTTCAGTGGCCTCCTGTGCAGTGCTGCCAGCAGGGACCCCCAGTGGAGCCATCAGGCACAGGGTAAGTTCCCTTTCCTTGCTCACCCTTCTCCCTGCTCGCTGCCTGTGGGTGACCACGCGGCCGCCATCCCCCGGCCTGAGCGCGGCTGCCGCTGCCCCTTGTGGCACTGAGGCACTGAGGCACGGGTCCTTCTGCCTGGGCCAGGACAAGTGCTGGCTGCTGTGTTTCCACTTTCCTAGCTGAGCTGTGGTGCCCTCGCTCTCCCACACTCAGGGTGAGAACAGCAGCCTCCACACAAAGGATTACAAGGACGAAGTCCCAAGCCTTCAAGCTCCTTTGGCCTTAAGCTTTAGGAGCGTTTCATTTTGGGGACACGAGGTCTCATGTTTCTTGCCCCTGACCCTGTTTCCAGCCCAGCTCTGGCTGTGTACAGCTCCTTCCAGCCACCTCGTGCAGTCAGGCGAGTATAGAGTTTCTGCCCTGCCACCCCTTCCTTCCTGGCCTTCCAGCACCCTTACTCACAGGCCAAGAGCATTGGTGCTCGCTGGGCAGCAGCCAGGGAGCTGCATGAGGCCCTGGGAATGGCAGGTGCCCTGGAAAAGGAGCCACTGCAGCCCTTGTGGAAAGGGCTCCTCACAGGAGCAGTGTGGGAGCGCTTCTGCTGTACCCCTGCCACTTGTGCCCCAGAGCCAGGGACTGGCCTCCTGCAGCCCTGTGTAATGGCTGTCCCTGCTCCCTGCAGTGGGTCCGCAGCAGCCGCCATGGCCAGCGGCAGAGCTTCGGACAGTGAGGAGGCGCCGGTGCCCCAGGAGCAGGAGGAGGAGGAGGAGGCGGGCCCGAACGTGAA